GCTGTGAGACTTTGACCTGAGTGCAAAAATGGAGGCTCTAGACCCTTCCAGAGCTGAGATATCGAAATTCAAAATTTCGACCCGAAAAAAAAAACGACAGTGTTACCCCTTTCGTTTTTTTTCATTTTCGGGCGAAAAATTAAGTTTCTCCAATCTTCTCAAAACTCTGGATTATGATAGAGGGCTGTGAGACTTTGACCTGAGTGCAAAAATGGAGGCTCTAGACCCTTCCAGAGCTGAGATATCGAAATTCAAAATTTCGACCCGAAAAAAAAACGACAGTGTTACCCCTTTCGTTTTTTTTCATTTTTGGGCGAAAAATTAAGTTTCTCCAATCTTCTCAAAACTCTGGATTATGATAGAGGGCTGTGAGACTTTGACCTGAGTGCAAAAATGGAGGCTCTAGACCCTTCCAGAGCTGAGATATCGAAATTCAAAATTTCGACCCGAAAAAAAAACGACAGTGTTACCCCTTTCGTTTTTTTTCATTTTTGGGCGAAAAATTAAGTTTCTCCAATCTTCTCAAAACTCTGGATTATGATAGAGGGCTGTGAGACTTTGACCTGAGTGCAAAAATGGAGGCTCTAGACCCTTCCAGAGCTGAGATATCGAAATTCAAAATTTCGACCCGAAAAAAAAACGACAGTGTTACCCCTTTCGTTTTTTTTCATTTTTCGGGCGAAAAATTAAGTTTCTCCAATCTTCTCAAAACTCTGGATTATGATAGAGGGCTGTGAGACTTTGACCTGAGTGCAAAAATGGAGGCTCTAGACCCTTCCAGAGCTGAGATATCGAAATTCAAAATTTCGACCCGAAAAAAAAACGACAGTGTTACCCCTTTCGTTTTTTTTCATTTTCGGGCGAAAAATTAAGTTTCTCCAATCTTCTCAAAACTCTGGATTCTGATAGAGGGCTGTGAGACTTTGACCTGAGTGCAAAAATGGAGGCTCTAGACCCTTCCAGAGCTGAGATATCGAAATTCAAAATTTCGACCCGAAAAAAAAAACGACAGTGTTACCCCTTTCGTTTTTTTTCATTTTTGGGCGAAAAATTAAGTTTCTCCAATCTTCTCAAAACTCTGGATTCTGATAGAGGGCCATGAGACTTTGACCTGAGTGCAAAAATGGAGGCTCTAGACCCTTCCAGAGCTGAGATATCGAAATTCAAAATTTCGACCCGAAAAAAAAACGACAGTGTTACCCCTTTCGTTTTTTTTCATTTTCGGGCGAAAAATTAAGTTTCTCCAATCTTCTCAAAACTCTGGATTCTGATAGAGGGCTGTGAGACTTTGACCTGAGTGCAAAAATGGAGGCTCTAGACCCTTCCAGAGCTGAGATATCAAAGTTCAAAATTTCGACCCGAAAAAAAAAACGACAGTGTTACCCCTTTCGTTTTTTTTCATTTTCGGGCGAAAAATTAAGTTTCTCCAATCTTCTCAAAACTCTGGATTATGATAGAGGGCTGTGAGACTTTGACCTGAGTGCAAAAATGGAGGCTCTAGACCCTTCCAGAGCTGAGATATCAAAATTCAAAATTTCGACCCGAAAAAAAAAACGACAGTGTTACCCCTTTCGTTTTTTTTCATTTTCGGGCGAAAAATTAAGTTTCTCCAATCTTCTCAAAACTCTGGATTATGATAGAGGGCTGTGAGACTTTGACCTGAGTGCAAAAATGGAGGCTCTAGACCCTTCCAGAGCTGAGATATCGAAATTCAAAATTTCGACCCGAAAAAAAAACGACAGTGTTACTTACCCCTTTGTTTTTTTTCATTTTCGGGCGAAAAATTAAGTTTCTCCAATCTTCTCAAAACTCTGGATTCTGATAGAGGGCCATGAGACTTTGACCTGAGTGCAAAAATGGAGGCTCTAGACCCTTCCAGAGCTGAGATATCGAAACTCAAAATTTCGACCCGAAAAAAAAAACGACAGTGTTACCCCTTTCGTTTTTTTTCATTTTCGGGCGAAAAATTAAGTTTCTCCAATCTTCTCAAAACTCTGGATTCTGATAGAGGGCCATGAGACTTTGACCTGAGTGCAAAAATGGAGGCTCTAGACCCTTCCAGAGCTGAGATATCGAAACTCAAAATTTCGACCCGAAAAAAAAAACGACAGTGTTACCCCTTTCGTTTTTTTTCATTTTGGGCGAAAAATTAAGTTTCTCCAATCTTCTCAAAACTCTGGATTATGATAGAGGGCCACGAGACTTTGACCTGAGTGCAAAAATGGAGGCTCTAGACCCTTCCAGAGCTGAGATATCGAAATTCAAAATTTCGACCCGAAAAAAAAAACGACAGTGTTACCCCTTTCGTTTTTTTTCATTTTCGGGCGAAAAATTAAGTTTCTCCAATCTTCTCAAAACTCTGGATTATGATAGAGGGCTGTGAGACTTTGACCTGAGTGCAAAAATGGAGGCTCTAGACCCTTCCAGAGCTGAGATATCAAAATTCAAAATTTAGACCCGAAAAAAAAAACGACAGTGTTACCCCTTTCGTTTTTTTTCCGTTTTCGGGCGAAAAATTAAGTTTCTCCAATCTTCTCAAAACTCTGGATTCTGATAGAGGGCCACGAGACTTTGACCTGAGTGCAAAAATGGAGGCTCTAGACCCTTCCAGAGCTGAGATATCAAAATTCAAAATTTCGACCCGAAAAAAAACGACAGTGTTACCCCTTTCGTTTTTTTCATTTTCGGCGAAAAATTAAGTTTCTCCAATCTTCTCAAAACTCTGGATTATGATAGAGGGCTGTGAGACTTTGACCTGAGTGCAAAAATGGAGGCTCTAGACCCTTCCAGAGCTGAGATATCGAAATTCAAAATTTCGACCCGAAAAAAAACGACAGTGTTACCCCTTTCGTTTTTTTTCATTTTCGGGCGAAAAATTAAGTTTCTCCAATCTTCTCAAAACTCTGGATTATGATAGAGGGCTGTGAGACTTAAACCTGAGTGCAAAAATGGAGGCTCTAGACCCTTCCAGAGCTGAGATATTGAAACTCAAAAATTCAACCCAAAAAAAAAAACGACAGTGTTACCCCTTTCGTGTTTTTTTTCGGGCGAAAAAATTAAGTTTCTCCAATCTTCTCAAAACTCTGGATTCTGATAGAGGGCATGAGACTTAACCTGAGTGCAAAAATGGAGGCTCTAGACCCTTCCAGAGCTGAGATATCGAAACTCAAAAATTCGACCCAAAAAAAAAACGACAGTGGTACCCCTTTCGTTTTTTTTTTTTCGGGCGAAAAATTAAGTTTCTCCAATCTTCTCAAAACTCTGGATTCTGATAGAGGGCCATGAGATTTTAACCTGAGTGCAAAAATGGAGGCTCTAGACCCTTCTAAAGCTGAGATATCAAAACTAAAAAATTCGACCCCCAAAAAAAAACGACAGTGGTACCCCTTTCTTTTTTTTTTTCAGGCGAAAAATTAAGTTTCTCCAATCTTCTTGAAACTCTGGATTCTGATAGAGGGCCATGAGACTTAAACCTGAGTGCAAAAATGGAGGCTCTAGACCCTTCCAGAGCTGAGATATCGAAACTCAAAATTTCGACCCCAAAAAAACCCGACAGTGTTACCCCTTCTGTTTTTTGGGCGAAAAATTAAGTTTCTCCAATCTTCTCAAATCTCTGGATTCTGATAGAGGGCCATGAGACTTAAACCTGAGTGCAAAATGGAGGCTCTAGACCCTTCCAGAGCTGAGATATTGAGATATTTATAATGGCATAAATGCTACGTGGGATCTCAATATCTCAGCTCTGGAAGGGTCTAGAGCCTCCATTTTTGCACTCAGGTCTAAGTCTCATGGCCCTCTATCAGAATTCAGAGTTTCACGAAGATCAGAGAAACTCAAAATTTCGACCCCCCCAAAAAAACGACAGTGTTACCCCTGTCGTTTTTTGTTTTTTTTTTGTGCGAAAAAATAAGTTTCTCCAATCTTCTTGAAACTCTGGATTCTGATAGAGGACCATGGGACTTAGACCTGAGTACAAAAATGGAGGCTCTAGATACATCAACCCGGTCACACTAAATGCGTCTCGCACGCAGTGCATTCATAGTGCAATGAATACGTGAAAATTAGTTTTTAAATGCATAGGAAACGCACCGTGTGTAATATACGTTTGGTTAGATTATGGCAAGCCAAGAGGTTCAGAATTACACCATAAATTAATTGCGTTTATTGCCATAGTTATTAACATATAGTAAGGATAAGCATGACGTGTACGTTGCCTAATTGCAAGCTTGTTTCAGAAATGGTGACATTTTTTTTTCCATCATTATTGAACATCATTATTGGAGTATTAGGTTGAATGAGTTAGAATTAAATGTTTTATTAATCATTAGAAAATAGACATTAAGAAAATAAATTATGCAAGTACTTTTACTTTTAATACTTAAAGTACATTTAAAATCAGGTACTTTTTACTTAAGTATGGTTGTCATTGTGTTACTTCTACTTTTACTAAAGTAAATATTTTTCTGGTTATTTGTACTTTTACTTAAGTACTGAGATTCAGTACTTCCTCCACCACTGGTATTATGCAGAATGAATGAATGAAGAAGATATGATGACTTTAGACTTAATTTAATCCCGGTTCAGTCTGTGTTTTGGGAACTAATGAGCCACAAGAGACATTTTTTACCACCAGCTAGGATGTTCTAGAGATTTTCTGACCTCTGAACACCAAGTAAAATCAACTTAAATATTTTCGCATGGTTCACCGGTTCAAGATGTGGTAATAAAAAGAGTGTACTTTCAGCTTTGGATGAATCATCAACTGGAGAACTATCAAAAGATTAAACTGGACACTGGAGGACTAGTCCTACTATTAACATGTGCTGAATGGCAAAGTGCTAAATTACAAGTAATCATTTATGAATTCAGTAATTAGGAATAAATAAAGAAATGTTAAATTTAAGTCTTACAAACAACAGAAACTCTTCAGATGGCACTGTGAAAAGCTTTTGCTCAAAAATGGCACAAAGACCAAAAGACATTGGATCAATCAAACAATCTTCACAGGTTTCTTTTTTTATTGTGTAATGTTAAATATTGAGCTCCTGTGCAAAACCTGGAATGTAAGTTACCTAAGCACAGAATATTCAAATGAAAGATAGAAATCAAAATCAGTATGATTAGTACATTAAAAAAAATTGGAATGAATTCAGTAGCTCACCAAAGTGTCACATTAAACTGAGTAAAAAAAAAAAAAAAAAAAAACAACACTACTCTGATGAGTTAGAACAGAATAATTGAACAGATCTATGATGGTTAAAATACTAAAACATCTCCATTTACGATAAAATTAAATGACTGACAGGATCACAACTCTCAGACTTTAAGCTTTGCCCAGAACAGCAACACAGACGATACAATGAATTTCATTAAATTAATAAATTCTAAATGACTTGAACTGAAAAATTTAATCCACCACCCATTTGAATAGATTCAACATGTTTGGCACTTAGGAACCTCTTGTGGGCCAAGTAGGGCTTCTGCAGGACATTTTTCAACCACCAAGAAGATCATCTGTAGAAGCATTTGAATAGAACAGCCTTATGACGCTCTCTGATCTTTACAGCACTAGATCAACACTCTGAATGACCTTCGTGAGCCAGAATCATGTTTCAACACTGGATGCTAAAAACAGCAGGATGAAAATGAAATCCTAATGTCACTCAAGGAATGTGCTCAGCTATGGAGTGAAATGAGCATCTCTGCACAGCAACATGGTAGATATTCCAACGATATTCCAAAATTGCACTTTTGTGAAGAGCTGAGTCAGCTGAAAATACATTCAAGAGATCTAAAGCACTCAAGAGTCCTATTTACAGTCCCGAGTCTTTGCTTTACCTCAGAGTTGATGGTTGCAGCAGAGCATCTGATGTGGCTCAGTGTGTCGATGCTGATATGGAACATATATAATACGGAAAGAGTATTTGGTTGGGCCAGTTTGGCATGAAGTGCAACATCACTGTATATAAATCTGTTGCAAATTGAGTTCACAGATCCGCCCAGCGTCCCGCAATTCATAACAGTCCTTCGTTTTCAAAGCTGCTGTGCATGAGAGAGAAGGCAAACGGTACAAACTTGACACCAGCGCCGCTGTAGAACTTATTTTGAAACTCCACCCTGAGGAGAAAGAGTTCATTTCCATTTTAATCATTTGTGTTCAGCAACTAACTGATGTCTAAATCTCGCCTGAGCGTGATGGACAAACAATATTTGGTGATAGTGGTGTTGTACTGACCAGTGGAGTCTGAGAGCATGAAGAAAGGCTGAAAGTCCCTCCATCACCAGCAGGATGGACACAGTGAGCACAGCAAACAGACCAAAAGCAGGCACCAGGAGCACAACACCCCAACTGGTGTCCACACGTAGGCCATCCCGCATCACCATCCCCACAATACCTCAGAGAGCTCTGGATCACAACAAAACAAGTTTAGCATTTCTTTTATTTTAAATGGACCATATTCTAGCCATTTTTATGGCCGATTGGCACTTGACTGGCTGTCACAAATGGTAAGTAATTTGGATTTTTGAGTCTAGACCAGAGATTCGCTACCCATTTAATTTAAATATAGGCATGAAAACGGGTTAGGGGTAAAACAGG